AGCAGATACCAGTCCCCTGCGCATCCCTGCCCTTCCTGCCCTTCCTCTGAGGAGCTAGCAGCAGGGCTTACAAGCTCTGGGCATGTCAGCCTTATGGCTTAGGTTGAAGCCCTTGCCTCACCATTTGGTAGCTTTATAATTAGCTCCGTTTACTCATCCGAAAAACCAGGATGTGAGGGTAGCTCATATCTGAGACACTTCTCAAAGGGCCTGTGCAGTGCCGTGCCCAGTGAATGGAGACAGCATTACCCGTGTTTTGATAATTAATATTCATAGAACATAATGGGTATTCCCAGGCAAGCAGGGAGCGTCCCTCAGCCATCAGAGGGAGCTGTGCCCTTAGCCAGGGCTGGGACTGTGTTAGGTGCCCTACTCTCATGTCTTCTGAACGGGGGTGTGACCTTTCAAAGCCACCCCAGGGTGGGTATCCCTGGGATCTGGCTCCTGATGGTCCTGTGGACACAGGTGCTGGAGGGCCCTAGCAAAGGTCACTGCTGCAGCCTATAGATGCGGGTGGTTGTAGGATGTCCAAGCTGGAAAGGCCTCAGAGTGCCACATGCGGGATCATTTCACTCATGGGCCTCAAGAGAGGGTTGGGGCCTAGTGCTGTTCTCAGGATGCTGTTCTCTGTCCTCGCCCCCCTGTCTCCAGGTTCCAGGCTCCTTCTCTGGGCCCAGAACTAGGTCCCCCAGCCTCTGAGCCCGTCCGCAGCTAAGTCAGGGCTCAGTCTGGGGCTGACGGTGGCACTCAGGGATCCTGTGGGGCTGGCCCTGTACTTCCCACCCTGCCCTATAATCCCCTGTTTACCTGTGGTCTCCCTTCTTGAGGTGAGCTCCCCGTGGGCAAAGCTGGCCCAACTATGTCTTCCCACTGAGCCCAGCAGGATCCTGGCCCAGAGAAGGCTCAAGAAAGTTTTGAGAACAGAGCCCCTCCCCAAACTGTTGGACCGAGCTGCTGGGCAGCAGCTCCACGGCCGGCCCTCCTACCCTGTGCCTCCTGGGGCCTTCAGTGGGGCCAGAGCCTGGCCCACCGTGTCCCCTCCCGGGGAATGGGCTCGCTGGTCATTTGTAGGGAGGAGGCTCCGCCTACCGTGTGTCCTGTCCTGGGCCTGGCCTTCGGCGGTGCCGCAGGTACCCCATCTAGTGAGTGGAAGAAGGGGCCCAGGACCCACAGGCAGGAGGACTGTCATTGATGCTGTGGCGGGTCTGTGTTGATTTGTCTCTGGGCCGAAGCTTCTGCCTGCAGGGTAACAGGACACCTGGCCTGGCTGGTCTGGAGGCTGCAAGGGCCTGGAAGCTGATCTCCAGGAGCTCGGGTCCCCGGGAGGCTGGAGCAGAGCAAGGTGCTCTTGGCTAATTGCACTCTGCCTCCTGGTGCTTCTGTGGTGAGAGCTCCTGGGCCCTAGAAGGAGGTAGGGGGCCCTGGGGAGCTTATTACTGCCTTACCTCCCTTCCTGTCCCTGCTGACTGGGCCCTGTTTGTTGTCAGCCCTCGCTTTAGGGCCCATTGCCCTGCAGGGCCTCCCCTGCCCCGTCCTGTTTTCTCCATGGAGAAACAGGGGTGCTCAGCCTGAGCTGCACCCCCACGCCCCCCAACCACTTCACTCTGGGGATGCTGAACCTCAGGATGCTGGTACACCATGCCCTCAACACACAGTACCCCCTCCTCCAGGAAGCCACCCCTTTACCTCTTGATGCAGCCTGGGGCTGATGGGCACAGGATTTGAAACAAGCCAGACCTGGGTTGGATGCTGGCTGGGTCCCTTGTTGTTGTGTGACACTGGGCAGGGAAGGTTCCTTCTGGGCCTTGGTGTGAACCTGACCTTTCTAGTCCCCAGAGTTGTAGGAGGATGAACGGAGCCTGTGATGGGGGAGGGTAAGCCTGTGGCATTTAGTGACAATATACCCGTGTTAAATCCCCTCCCTCCCCGCCTCTGGGTTCCCCACCTGTCCCTCTGTTCTACAAGACACCTCTTGGCAGTGGGCCTCCCCCTCCTATGGGATCCCTGGTAGGGGCATTATGGTCTCCCCACCTCATCTGTCCATTCTGTGAGGGCGGGACAGTGGACTTCAGGTGACTGGGTTTTGTGGACCAGAAATCAGGATGTGACAGTGGGGTGGAGCATTTGCCATCAGGCCTTGTTCCTTCTGGGCGCTCACCTCCCCCAGAGCCTGGTGCAGGCCCTGGCATGGGGGCAGGCCCGCTCCCTGCTCCGAACCTCAGGCGCCCCTGGCCAGAGGAGGAAAGCTGAGTGGAAGTGAGTGCCTGGCTGTCTGAGAGGGAGTGTTGGGGGGTGGCCGGTCCTGGGGCACGGCCAGGGGAGGCACGTGGTGGCAGGACTCAGTTCCACTTAAAATACTCCCCCGCCCCTGTTATCCGCGCAGCTCATGCCCGTGAGCTACAGAGTTCATTCGGCCCTGGTAACTGAGCACCAGCTGGGCCCCACACCATTCCAGGCGCCGGGGACTGAAGATGTGCACGAGTACTATGTCGCTGAAGGCTTGCTTTAGCCAGAAAGAACCAGTGTTAGGGTTTGCTATGTTTCCTTCTAGACTGTTTCTCTAGTTGGGGTTAAAGAGGCGTTTGTTTTGCTTTTCAGTACACAGTTTTGCAATCACATATTGCTGCTCTTCTCTGTTCATTCCTACGCCAGGCTTTAGTGGGTTTTCCCAAGGTGTCTGGTGGCCGAGCAGAGAGCTGTGGGTGGCACTGGGCCCAGCCCCACCCACAGCCTCCTGCCCCCTTCCTCTCCTCCCTTCCCACTCGGGCCTCTCCTGCCCCGCCTGTCTGAGGCCCAGGCCCCGGACGCCTTCCACCCTCAGCCTCCTCCTGCAGGTTGGCAGCCAGCCCAGGCTGAGCCCAGGCTCTCCTCAGGGGCGTGCAGCCCCTGGGTCTCCCCACCAGTAGAAACCGAACACCTCCCCCAGCATCCTGCAGGTCCGGAGATGGAGTGGGCGTTCTCTTTCCTCAGTGCTGCTTCCAGAACGCACCCTCAACTTGGAAGCCCCTACAGGCTCATGCCGTTGGCTCCCCACACCCCACAGCCCTGCCCACCTTGTTGCCAACCCCTGTGGACCATCTCCCACTCGGTCACCAGGGACTTGGCACCTCTAATTTCCCGGCCTTTTCTACCCAAGTGCTGCTGTGTCCCAGGGATTACCGCGCCCGTGTGGCTGACGCCCTGCCCTCATCATCCTGGCCTCAGTTCCTGTTTGTGGCTCCATCAGACTTTACCATCAACCACCTCGGCCTCCTGCCTCCATGGCGGCCACAGCCCACGCCTACATCTGTCCTTCCCGCAGGTGTTCCGCCGAAGGACCAGTCTCCTTGGCCTCACCTTCCAGGCGTGTCCCTCATCCTGCACTTCGACCCACACCTGCCCCTAAACCTCGTTTTGGCTTCAGTCAGTGTCTGTGTACTCTCCGCATCTGCACATCTTCCTCTGATTGTCCTTGGCCTTGGGCCCTATCATCAGTTCTCTTCTCAGTGCCATTCATTCATTCATTCATTCATTCATTCATTCATTCATTCAACAAGCATCTTCTGAGGGCCTCCTATGTGGCAAGCTCTGTTCTAGGTGCCAGCTTAACTTAACAGTAGTTCCTCAGCTGTGTTGTTCCCTCTCCTCTGCAGGTGCAGAGTGAAAGGTTCTGGGAGGGTCAGGCAGTTAGACATCTCGCATCCTGTCGAATGCCCTTGGGGGATTGCCACCAGCGACCCCCAGAGCTGACCTCAGGGCTTGAGATATTATCTGCTCACATGCTCTGTCCCCGTTGGTGACCCCCTGCTGATCAGGTAGCCAAGATCTCACTGACTGATTTAGCCTCCATCTAGCAGTTACTGTGCTTGTGGTCCACTAGACCCTTTAGATTGTTTTCAGTTGTTAAACTTTGGCCTGTGCCTCTGTCCTCTTTTCTGTGTGTGGCGTGTCATGGCAGCTTCCCTTCTCCTCTCTCCCACGCCCAGATACACTCACATATTCCAGTTCTTCCATTTACTGGAATATACTAGCCGAGCCCCCTGGTTCTGCCTCAGGCACTGCAGATGCAGACATCTGTCAGATTCTTCCTCAGCCTCAAGTCTCCTGGGGGAAACTGAGGCTTGATGTGGGTGGAATAAGTGCTGGGATTTTAGTGGGAGGAGACCCGGGCGTGTTGAGGCAGGGCCAGCGGGCAGGAATCCTGCAGGTCAGTGATTCTCACAGGCCCTGGGGGCCGGCAGCATCAGCATCCCCTGGGAGGCTGGTAGAAGTGCAGATGCCCAGGCCTCGTCAGCCCTATTAAATCAGAAGCGCTGGGGGTAGAGCCCAGTGATTGTGTTCTAAGTCCTGCAGGGGATTCTGATGAGGTCTAAACTTTGCGCAGGGGTTTAGGTGAGAGGTGGTGGTGGTGGCCAGGCCAGTCCTGGCAGTGGGGCTGGGCGGGAGGGCTCCCAGGGTCCCTGGGAGGCAGAACGAAGGCCTTGGCGGTTGAGTGTGGAGGGGTGAGGCTGAGGTGAGGGCGAGGTGGCTGCAGGCTCTGGCTGGGGTGACCGCACATCTCCGATCAGCAGGACCGCTCCGTTCCTTGTCCCCCCTACCCTCCCGCCAGGGGGTCTTCCAGTCTCTCCAGCGAGCACCTGCTCCCCACCCCCTTCCCCTTCTCACTGCCCCGTGCAGGCTCCCTTCTTCACAAACAAGCCCTTCCGAGGTCGTCAGGTAGTCAGGTAGTCAGGGCGGTTACCACAGCAGTTGACATCAGCAGCCTGGTCCCCGAGGAGCCTGTCGCCCTCCCGCCCGCGGGCCGTGCCTCCATGACTGCCTCTTGGAGGAGGAGAGAGGAGGCGCTGGGGGCCTCCCACCCCCGTTTGAGGACTGGGCAGGGCAAGGAGGGGAGGGGCCGGGGGAGGGCCGAAGGGTAGGCGGGGCGTCCTCGGGGGCCCTGTGGCCCTGGCGGCAAGGCCCCGGCACACCGCGCTCCTAGGCGGCCGCGCGAGGAGCGGCGACGGCGGCGGCAGCCGGGCATGGCGGAGGACGGGCCGAAGCAGCCGCAGCTCAGCATGCCCTTGGTCCTGGACCAGGACCTGACCAGGCAGATGCGGCTGCGCGTGGAGAGCCTGAAGCTGCGCGGGGGGAGGCGCCAGGACGGCGAGAAGCTGCTGCAGCCGGCCGAGGCCATGTACCGCCTGGACTTCGTCCGGCAGCAGAAGCTGCAGTTCGAGCGCTGGGACGTGGTGCTGGACAAGCCCGGCAAGGTCACCATCACGGGCACCTCCCAGAACTGGACGCCCGACCTCACCAACCTCATGACGCGCCAGCTGCTGGACCCCACTGCCATCTTCTGGCGCAGGGAGGACTCGGCCGCCATGGATTGGAACGAGGCCGATGCCCTGGAGTTTGGGGAGCGCCTGGCGGATCTGGCGAAGATCCGCAAGGTCATGTACTTCCTCATCACCTTCGGCGAGGGCCTGGAGCCCGCCGACGTCAAGGCCTCTGTGGTCTTTAACCAGCTCTGACGGCAGCTCCTGGCTGCTGCCCCCTCCCCGTGCCCGCCCGCCCCGTCCCCTGCCCGCACCCCCTTCCCCGAGGCGTGTGTTTGAGGACATTCTTCTAGCTGCTGGCCTGTACTCAGCTTGCCCGGGACCCGCTGAGCCTGTGTCCTTCCTCCTCTCCTTTCCCCGGTGCTGGCACTCCTGCTCATGGGAGGAAGATGCAGAGGCCCTGTAGTCTAGAAGCTGACCCGACTGCCGCTGCTTCTGCTGTAGACCATGGAGGCCCGGTCGGGGCCAAGCATCTGCCTTCTCTCTGCTTCATTGTCCAGAGAGCGACTCAGAACGAGAGAGACAGACACCGAGAAAGAGAGATCCAAAGCGCCAGCCGTCGGGCTTCCTCGGGAGACGGAGAGACGACGGAGCAGCCCCCCTGGGGAATCCACAAGCCTTTGCTGCCCTCCTGGCCGCAGCGCCCTTTGCTGAAGTCCAGAGGTGCACAGTGAGCCTGAGGACCCAGGAAGGCACTGCTCCTGGCCCGGGCCTGGCGCGGTCCCACGACGCCTCAGGGGCCTCAGGACTTCAGGCAGCGTTGCCGTGGGGGCTGATTTGGGGCGGTGGGGAGCGGCTGACAGGCTCGAGGCTGTGCTTGCCCGTTCTTGCTCCTCTGAGGACTCCAGGAGGGCGAAGTGACAGGGACGGGACAGATGAAAAAGTTACACAGAGATGCATCTGTCTATACATGTGCATATATATTGAGAGAGAGCGTGCAGTATTCATGTGGCTGTGTTCCAGAGTCTGTACCTGCCCTGCAAGCAGTCTGATTTTAGATGATCTATTATGTATCGGCCAGCTGGCTCATGGGTGGCCCTTCGCAGGGGCTTGGTCAGGATGACCTTGGGGAGGGGGGCCTCCTGAGCTGAGAGCCTTTGAGGTTCATACCGTGAAGCAGGGAACAGCACAGTGAAGGGGTTTCCCTCTGCCTGGGGGAAGCAGGGTAGAGGGGTCCAGAGAGCCCTGGAGCTGGAGACATTAGATTCTTTGGGGCCTCAGGTGTCCCTGCTGGGATGTCAGGTTTTTTCCAGGTCCCTGGGCAGGAAAGGCACAGGCCCAGGGGGCACCTCAGGAAGTGCCCCCAACACCCTGTCTCTAGGCCAGCCCTGTTTTTTTTCTTTTTTGTCAGGAACAGGCCCGTGACATTTTCCTCACGAAGCAGAGCCACTGAGCGCTGCGGGGCCCTACGAATAGACGAACCAAGAAACAGAGGGCGAGAGCCATCCTCAGTGGTTGGGGCTGCTGGGAGGGTGAGCTCCCACTCTGGAGGCATGCAGACAGGAGTGGGGTGTTGGAGTTGGGATTCTTTAGGTGGGGATTGGCTGTGGTCCTTTCTGACTCTCAGCTCTCGGGCCTGTTCCCGGCTGGGCTTGCCCGCCCATCTTCTCTGTTGACAGCTAGGGGTGTCCAGACTCCTGGAGATGGCCTTGCCCTTCGCCTCTCTGCTTGACCTCCCCCTGCAGCTCGGGGGGCCCTCTTGGCGCAGACTGCCTGTACCCCCACCCTGAGCCACCACATCCACCCCATGCACTGTGTGTCCCCAATAAAGCCTCTGTGTCCCCACCTCGTGGTGTGCAGTCTCTCACCGCGAGCCACCCCTGCCCCTTCAGGAGCTCTGACAGCCCTCTCGAGCCCTCAGAGCCCTGAACATCCCCTCCCGGGCCTTCTCCCGCATTCCCTTCAACTCCTCCTGCTGCTTTCAGAGATGAGGTCTCGAGCAGTCCAGGGACTGGCCCAAGGTCAGACATCAGGATGGAGTTTAGAACCGGGTCTCCTGACACCCAACCAGGTATTAACACCCCTGACGGTTTTCCCCCCGTGGCCCCCAGACCAGCCTCTGTCTGGAGCGTGGAGCCATGCTGAGGCCCCAGGGAGGTGCCGTCTGGTCCAAGCCATGCACAATCTCCAGTCTCCCCCGACTTGTAGGGTGGCTGGGCAGGGGGCAGACGGGACGGGGAGTGGCATGGTTGGGGTGGGGTGGGGTTAGGCCCACGTCCAGGTTTCACTCAGCCTCTGTCACCAGTTGAACGCACGTCCTCAGGCGGCCCCCTGCTGACCACCACATCACCTTAACATCACCTTAGTGCCCCACTTGGCCTTTCTCTAGAGCTCTTTCCCCTTGTCATCTCTCTGGAGCTCACTCAGTTTTTGGACAGAGACGAAGAGGCCCAGAAAATGAGGCCATCTGCCTGAAGTCACAGCAGGCCTGGAGGGGCCAAAGGAGGGGTACGTGTGTGGACCAGGCTCTGGGTCTGCGGCCCCCTGGGGTGGACAGGGGCAGTGCCCCACCCCTCCTGAGGGCCCAGGCCCGGGCGAGGCCAGCTTCTTCCTAGGGACCGAGGTCAGGTCCTGCTTCAGAGGCCACACTTGGGGTTTTGCTTGGGAATGACCCTTGCTTTGAAATGCTCTGCGCAGCCAGGTCTTCCTGCGCCGTCCTCCACTCCGAGCCCTCCCCAGAGCAGCTGCGGTTGCCTTGTTTCCCTTCCCCAAGCCCTGCCCTTCCAGCCCCGGCCTCCATCCACTCCTGAAGATGCCTTTGGAAGGGGTGCGGGCAGCAGAGCCCAGCCCTTCCACCCCTGCTCTCCTCCCTGGCTCTGCATCCGAGACTGGCCGCGGGGAGTGCCGGGAGTGGGAAATGAGGATCCGTTTTCCAGGAAACCCACAAGAAACCATAGAGTGAAGAGACCTATCGTCTCCTGAGCTTCTGCCTCCCACTGAGGCAGTGGGTGCCGTGCTGAGGGGCCCGCCACTGACCACCGATGTGACCCTAGGCAGCCTCCCTGGGCCTGTTGGCAGGGGCTAATGATGGTGCCTCCTTGTAGGGCCCATGTGAAGCTTAAATGAGTTAATGTTAGTGAAACAGGGCGTCGGGAGCTGGCACACGGCACCCTCTCTCCATTTGCTCATCGTGACTCTCCCGGTCACTGTAGATGCATGGTCTTACTTTGCAGTTATTCTGAGAGGAGTGTCCGCAGCACTGATTTACAGAGCAGCAGCGCAGGGTTCAGAGAGGCGAAGTGAGTTGCCCGAGGTGGCACAGCAGCCCAGTGCTTCTGGGAGTGGGCAGTGTGGGGTGGAGGGACAGGCGGGGGCCCGGCTCTGGTTGGAGAGTGGACAAGAGGGCATGGATTCTCCTCCGCCATAATCACTGGGCTCAGAGTGGCCCAGCTGAGGGGATCTTTAGCCCCCACGGTGCAGCTGGGCAGCGCAGCAGGAGGGGGCCTGACCCAAGCCTGGGGTCCCACCAGGGTCTCTGAGCATCTGGCTGTGCCCTGTGGACAGGAACCCCCAGGCCCCTGCAGATGCATCAGGTCCTCTCCGGGTGGTGAGCGACGGGGCTCTGCGCTCCCGAGGGTGTGCGGAGTAGGGGTGGGGGGGCCCAAGCTTCCTGGCCTCTTCCCGTCGTGGCATCTGAAACCCAGGAGTTTGAGACTCTTGGAATCAGAAGCTGAGAACTGAGGAACTTCAGATGCTTGGAACCAGGCACCCTCTAGTTTGGGGACTCACCCACCTGACTTGGGTAACACAGGAACTGCCCCCCTGCAGCCCTTCAGCCCTCAGCCCTGCTGGCCTTTTGCAGAAATGCCCCCAGCTGGCCCTCTGGGCTCCGGGGCAGAAATCAGCGAAAAGCTCCTTCCCCGTGCCACACCTGCACACACACTGACACGCACACACGATGCCCGTGTGCACACGCACGTACACACGCATGCTGCATACACCCACGTGCACTGACATTCACGCACTTGCACACTCACACGGGCGTGTCCCACTGGCCAGAGTCCCAGGAGGATTTGAGCCAGGAGCGTTCCAGGCACCAGGGCCCCATGGCGCCCGCATCGCCTGAGCTTTCTGGGCTGATTCTGCAGTGGGTGCCGGGGGGGCCTCCAAATCCCACACAATCCTTGCCTGGCTGCCAGCTCAGCCTAAGTAAGTGCGTCGATCCCTCAGGCCTCTCTTTTCCCATCTGCATGGGGGGCTGTTGTTGAGGTTTCCCCCCAGGAGGGAGGCTGACCAGGTCACCTGAGCTGCCCACCAGCCCCAAGGTTTGCAGACTTGTGTGGGTCCAGCTGCCTGTACTGCGTTCCCCAGCGGGATGACCCCTCACAGGTGCACAGCCCTCCACAGTTAAGGCGGCACCCCCGAGGCCACTGTCCATCCTGGGTCTCCCAGCAGCCCTAGAGTAGGGGCGGCAGATGCCAACGCTGAGCAGCGGCCGGTCGGAAGCTGAGTCTGGGCCATGCAGGGCGGTTGGACACGTGTCCAGGAGTGGCTGCAAGGTCACCAGCCGGACAGGGCCTTGCTGCGGCTGGCACTTGAAGACTTTTCTTCCAGAAAGACTTGCCTGGCTGTGGAGCTGGCCTCCCATGATGGGGGGGGTGGGGGAGGGCGGGATCTGGGCCTGAGAGTGGGGCTCAGCCCCGCCCTCCAGAAGCTCTGCTCAGTGATCAGGGAAAGAGCCTGGGGGAGGGGCTGCCCCCGGGGAGCTCCAGACCCCGAGAGCCCAGAAGCTGCTGCTCAGCTCGCCCCTGAGGGACAAGGAAGGGGACCGTACCGGAGAGGGAGCCAGGCGTGCAGATTTGCTTGGGGCCCGAGATGGGAGGCGGTGTTTGGGGGTGAGGCCGAGAGGGTCCACAGAGCCTCAGGGCTGTGAATGTGGGGACAGGGAGCTGGGGGCCGTGGGGATGGGGCGTTTCAACTGGAGACAACATGGGAGGAGAGAGATGGCTTAATGCGCTCCCTTGTACCCCTCCCTCTGCCTCAGCAACTGTCAACTCTCCCCCAGTCTTGTTTCCTCTTATTCCCGCCCCCCACGCCCTCCAGGCAACATGTCATTTCGTCTGTAAATATTTCTGGATGCATCTCTGGAGAATAAGGGGTCATCAAAAGCAAAACAAAACAGAAACAAAACTCTGTGACCGCAATCCTGTAACACAACTAAAATAATTTCACATTTCACGATAATTCCCTCATTGCATCAAATGCCCAGGAGGAGTTTTGGTTTCCAATTTCTGCCATAAATGTGTGTATGTTTCTTTAAAAATTTTATTTATACCATTAGTTTCAAATGTAGAGTTCAGTAAATCATCAGTTGCAGATAGTACCTTGTGCTCATCACATCACGTGCCCTCTTTAATGCCCATCACCCAGTTACACCATTCCCCCCACCCACCTCTCCTTCCTCAACCCTCAGTTTGTTTCCTAGAGTTAAGAGTTTCCATTGGTTTTTCTCTCTCTGATGACTTCCCATTCAGTTTTCTCTCCCTTCCCCTATGATCCTCTGCACTTTTTCTTATATTCCACATGTGAGTGAAACCATATAACTTTCTCTGATTGACTTATTTCACTTAGCAGTTCCATCCATATCGATGCAAATGGTAAATTCATCCTTTTTGATGGCTGAGTAATATTCCATTGTGTGTGTATATCTATCTATCTATCTATCTATCTATCTATCTATCTATCTATCTATCTATCTATCTATCAGATCTTCTTTATGCATTCACCTGTCGATAGACATCTTGGTTCTTTCCAGTTTGGCTATTGTGGACATTGCTGCTATGAACCTTGGGGTGCTCGTGCCCCTTCGGGTCACTGCATATATTACAAAGCTGTGACCATCAAGACAGTCTGGTACTGGCACAAAAACAGACACACAGATCAATGGAACAGATAGAGAGCCCAGAGATGGACCCTCATTTTCTCTATTTTTTGAGTGTCTTCTATTTTATTGATTCCTGCTATCTTTATTATTTCCTTCCCTTTACCTGGGGAAAAATTTTTTTCTAGATTCTTGAAGTAGAAACTTCCTCAATATTAAACCTTTCTTTCTTCCATCGTTGGCTTGGTTTTCATGCTGTTGTTTCAGGTGTTCTCCCTGCCATGCACTTCCTGTAAGCTCAGACTTACCTTAGTGGTTTCGTAAGGTTCAGGTACAAATTTTTGGCATGACTGCTTCATAGGAGACATTGTGTACTTCTCTCACGAGGCACGTGATGTCTGGTCATCTCTCTTCTTCATGATGTTATAAGCTGTCGATGACCATTACTAAATCCATTATTTGCCAGTGGTCGTAAAATGGCGAGAGTCTAATATTCTAGTCTCTTCTTCATTTCTGCAAC